ATTACTGGGGCACCTGGGGGGCTCAGTTGGTTAAGCGTCCGACTCTTAGATTCAGCTCAGGTCATGATCCCAGGGTTGTGAGATCGAGCCCCAAGTTCGGCTCCGTGCTCAGCTTGGGGTCTTTTTTTTTATTTTTTTAAGATTTTATTTATTTGACAGAGAAAGAGACAGCTAGAGAGGGAACACAAGGAGGGGGAGGGGGAGAGGGAGAAGCAGGCTTCCCGCTGAGTAGGGAGCCCAATGTGGGGCTCGATCCCAGGACCTGGGATCATGACCTGAGCCGAAGGCAGACGCTTAATGACTGAGCCACCCAGGCGCCCCTATAATTATAACTTTATATAATTTGGTGTTTATAATACACGAGGCGGACAGTGGTGGCTGCTCCTTGTTTATACCGGATCTTCGGGAATCAGGGAGCTGCCCCACCCGGCTCTGCAGCTGGCTGAACCCGGACCCTTTTGGACCCCAGTCTTTCTGTGGGTGTCACGAGCGCTTCTGTAGATGGGGGACGCTGGACAGCCTGTCACCTTTCGTGATGACTCAGGCTGCTCATTCGGAGCCGGGCCAGGGGGACGAGGCCCCAGGAGGCCCCGGGTCTGTGCGGCATGGACTGCGCGTGGCTGCTTGGTGCCCACGTGTCCAGCCCACACACCTCCTGCTCATGCTGGTGTTGCATGTGTCCGCTTAGGTTCTCTCCGTGCAGGGAGCGTGGGCCACCAGGCTGTTAGCGGTTCAGACAAAGAAAGAAGAAGCTCTGTGCACGCTCTTTAGGGATTTTCCCAGGAGCCCAAGTGCTTGCCTTGAGTTTTGAATGCTGAGGTTTATTCTGGAGGCTCAGGGGCCTTTTAAATCCTCCTCCACCAGCTACAGACCTCCAGGAAGGACCGTCTGTTTGCATCTGAAATGCGTGTTGCAGGAAGGAAGGGTTTCGGGTGGAATGTCCAAACCACACTTCTGGGAAGTCACCCGCCTCCATGGTGCTGAGGATGGGGCAGCCCCTCTGAGCCCCGGAAGTGAGAGGGATTTTGGCTGCCCCTCCACGGCCCCCATTAAAAAAACAAAAAGCAAGCCTGTCAATAGGATGCTGCCAAACGAAGCAGTCTTGTTTTGCTTAAATCCACAATTCACATTGAATGCTCAGCCTGAAAATTTCCAGAAGCCAAACACTTCTAAAGCCCAAAAGATCTGGCGGGGACCTGTGCATGCCTGTTTGGGGGGACACTAGCACCCTGTTTATCTGGCATGGTCACGGAACCCGTTCTTCCCCACAAAAGTAAGACTTCCAGAAGATGAAACTTTCCACCTGCATCCCCATCACTTTTAGGGCCTCTTATTTTTAACCATTTTACTGGATTTATTTTTTTTCCAAATATTTTACGGGTGTGTCCTGAAAACTCAGAACTGCCTAAGGGGAGCCAAGCCTGGGATCCCGGGACAGGTCACCTCTTGATTGGTGATCCCGTCTCGGCCGGGCCCGGGTTTCCGATATGAACACCCGAACAGTGGAAGCGACACCTCCCTCCCCCCACGTGCCCGCTGTGGAGACGGTTCCTCCCGAGAGCCCCTCAGAGCGGTTGTTTGTAAACCATCTTAATTCTTCGTGTCTTACACTCACCCCTGGGTTTTTGGTACTTGGAAGGATTAGCTGCATTAACTACGCCTTTTTTTTTTTGTTCTCTTTAATAAGGCTGATTGATCATTGGGAAGGAATTTCATCACCTTTTAACAAAAAACAAATGAAAAGATTGGGGGGAATAGTAGCTTTGCTTCTTGAACTTGAGAAAACACCTCCCTTGGGGCTCCTGGCTGGCTCAGTTGGTAGAACGTGCAAGTCTTGACTTGGGGTTGTGAGTTCGAGCCCCACGTTGGGTGTGGAGACTACTAAAAAAAAAGAAAAGAAAGAAGGAAGATGGCTCACTCGCCTAGGAACACTTACTGGTCGTCGTTTATCAGGGACCGGAGAAGTGGCCGCGAGAACTAAGGGCACGCCGCGGGCACCACTGTCCGGACCGGCCGCGTGGCCTGGGTCACAGGCTGCAGGGCGCTGGTGCTCACCTTGCTGTCATTTGCATGCAGGTTGGTGGCGGTGGCTCTTCTGTACCTGGAGCAGGAAGACGCTTTCTGGTGTCTCGTTACCATAGTGGAGGTGTTCATGCCGCGAGACTATTACACAAAGACGCTGCTGGGGTCCCAGGTACGTGTAGACATACTGCGCCTCGGTCAGCAACGTGGGGAGTTCGAGCTGAGACAGGACCGAACTAAGCCTTGGGGGGTTCCTGCTCACAGCTTCAGCCCCTGAGCCTTGTGGCGGGTGCAAAAGGCAGGGCATGCCGCGGACCCTCGGCTGGGCTGAGCGTGAGCCAGTGGGGCAGGCTGGCGGTAACACACTGTGAGGAGTGGACCAGCCCCGCAGCCCTGCTGTTCATGGTGGCTGTTCCGCTGTCCCCCCGCCCCCGGGCTCCGCTGTCCCCCCCCCACTCCGGGCTCTGCTTGCTGCCCCACCCGGGCTCCGCTGTTTCCCCCCCGCCGGGCTCTGCTATCCCCCCAACCCCGGGCTCTGCTGTCTCCCCCCACAGGCTCCGCTGTCCCCCCTGCCAGGCTCTGCTGTCACCCCCGGGTCTCCTCCCCCGGGCTCCGCTGTCTTCCCCCCGCCCGCCCCGGGCTCTGCTATCCCAACCCTGGGCTCCGCTGTCCCCTCCGCCCCGGGCTCTGCTGCCCCTTCCCGGGCTCCCACTGCCCCCCACACCCGGCTCCGCTATCCCTCCCCCGGGCTCCGCTGTCCCCCCTCGGGCTCTGCTGTCCGCCCCCCCAGGCTCTGCTGTACCCCCAACCCCGGGCTCCGCTGTCTCCCCCCGCCGGGCTCCGCTGTCCCCCCCCACCGCCCAGGCTCAGCTGTCTGTTTCTCCCTCCTCCTCCCCCCGGGCTCAGCTGTTTCTCCACCCCCCCCCACCCCGGGATCAGCTGTTCCCTGGACACAGCTGTCTGCAGGGGCAGCTAAGTTGCGGTCCAGGAATGTCTGGGAACCTGGTGTGTCGGCTCAGGTTCTCCAAGAAGCTGAGCCAAGGCAGGAGTCGATGAGCCAGAGATTTCTGAGGGGAGGCACCTGCAAAGGATGAGGGGTGGGAACGGGGAGGCTGGGGGAATCCCCAGACCAGGGAAAGGAAGGAGGCGTGGGTGGGACGGATCTCTGAGGAAGTTTTGGTCAGGCCGGTGGGGAGTGCGCAAGCTGGGGCTGCCTGTTACAGGCACGTGTCTCGTGGGAACGGGCCATGTCAGGGCCTGCCGTGGTCACTTCCTGGCTGGGAGCAGCCGGAGGTAGTGCTGGACCCAGAGGGACAGCCTGGGGGCCACAGTCACCTCCCCAGCAGGAGATGTGAGGGCACAGCTCATGTCCGCTGCACCTGGAGCCCGAAGCCAGGGCCGGGCAGGGCGACGTGGGCGGGGAGAGCCCGGGGTTGTCCCCACGTGGGCAGTCCTGGCTCTGGACCAACCCCTTGGGCCCAGGCCAGGGCTCCCCTGGGCCAGGCTGGGGCCGCTGCCCGGCTGGCAACCCTGCTCATGGGCCTGACCCTCCCGGCCTTGCGGCTGCCGGCGTAAACCCACCAAGGGACCAGCAGGGGGCAGGAGGGAAGTGCAGGTAGTTCTCGGCCCATCACGGCACTGCCTGCCCACGGCCTTGACTCCTCCCTGGCCAGTTCCTGTCTGGCAGGCCCCCCATGCTGGGGGGACCTCCCTGCTCCAGCCTGGGGCGGCTTCCTGCCCTCGCCTCTGGGCCACCTCACCACCAGCCGCGTGGCTTCTCGGCTTTTCTGTCCTCATGTGACCGGTCCCTGCACAAAATCCCTCTGTCGTACACATTTAGGGTGGCGTCTGTTTGCCTGGCTGGGCCCTGAGTTCTGCTGTGTATTTGTATCTCTCGTCGTGGCCTCCGTTACCGCCTGCCCCCCGCCCCCCGCCCCCCGCACCCCAGCCTGGACTCGTCCTCATGCCTCTCCCTCTGCGGCCCTGTGGTCACTGCCACCTGCCTGGCGGCTCGAGTACCTGCTTCCCCACTGACCCCCATCAGGGCACCGTTGCCTCCCCATGTCACTCATGGGGTCCCCTGCTGGAAGCACAGACTGCCCCAGGACAGAACACTTGCTCCCGGTCGCGCCCTGTTCTCTGTGCGGAGCTAACCCCCTCCGCAGTCACCGTCCCCCCCCTTGCCTCCCTAGAGAGCTTCTGCCCGGCCCGGGCTCTGAGTGCCCCGTCCTCTGTGCCCCACGCCGCCCCAAGCCCACTGCCGTTCTTGCCGCTCTGGGGACGGGGAGCCTGCTTGTCCCGCAGCTGGTCAGCGGCCATGACCTTCCTTCCAGGATCACCGGCCGCCGCGTGGCGAGTGGCTGAGCGCCGTGCGCGCTCCGACCGGGACAGGGAGGGCTGACACTCGGCACCAGCCCAGCCCATACTGGCGGCTGCACAAAACCATCCCAGTGAAGGCATCATTGTCCCCGTTGTACTTGGGGAAAACTGGGGGTCGGAGACACGAAGCAGCTCTCCTGAGGTGCCCCCACCATGGGCCCAGGCCGGGGGCTGGGCTCTGGGCCGTGTCCCAGCGTCAAGGTGCCGAATGATCCCAGGACAGGCTCAGCTGGTCTCCCCGTGACCACGTCACTTTGCTACGTTACCTAGAGGCTCTTCTCGTCAGAATATTTTGTAAACTAGGAAATGAGCCGTGGGAAGAGGCAGCAGTCACTGTCTGGTGGGAGTGAGGAGGCTAGTAAATTAAGTTCTGGGTGTCACGGACACCTGGGAGCTAAGAGCTTTACAGACTCACAATCTCAGATGACTGTGTTTCAGAGTAAGAAGAATGAGGTCTTCATCCGTCTTAAATCCACTGAACCAGGCCCTCCCGCCTACGAGCCGTGGAGGTTGGCCGCCTCACTCCACATCCCTGCGCCTCAGCTTCCCCAGCTGGAAGACCAGCATCACACTCCCCTCATACAAGTGCTCCAGTTTGAAATTAGGTGCATTACGAGCTTATCCTAATGCTTGGATCGTAAAAACTCAATAAAACGCAGAAGGGGAAAGCCTATTTTAAGCATGTGGGTTTAAGATAAAATTTGCATCACGTTGTCACATAAACACAACTGTAAAGTCCGAGGAGATAGGTTTCTCCCTGACAATAAATGTCGTGGCTGCTCACGAAGGCGCAGTTATTACGGAATACGAGATGTTCGGAAGAAAATGAAAATCCTGCGTTATTCTACCCACACTCGAGACCACTGTTGGCATTTTGATATCTTTCCTTTTTGCTTTTTTTCCCCCAAATACATTTTAGGTATTCACGTTGGGGGCAAGACGTGTCCTAGCTGGTTCACACGCTAGCTCGAGCGTCTTCCCGTGTCATTCTGTGCTTTTTCACCGCCGTGTTTGGTGGCCGTCACTCTCCATCGGGTGAATGCTTGTGACGAGTGTTCTCTCCTGCGGTGGGCTCCGTGTAAGGCCGCACTGGGAGTGGGGGCAGCCGTGTGTGGCCAGCCCCCAGCCCCGTGCTTCATGAATCCCTGTCGAACTGCCACCACGGGCCAGATGCTCGCAGCCTCTCCGTCTGTTCATCAGCTGAGTCCACGTTGTGTGCCAGGACCTTGGTGGGCACTGAGGATACCGTCCTCCCACGTCCTCCTGACCTCGGCGGGGTGGGGGCTGAATAGAGGCCCGAGGGTCGTTCCCAGCAGGCTGCTCCGCGCCGGGCCTCCTGAACCAGGCACCACCGGCCACCTGATTGGGAGGGCCCAGGGCATGGCTCTACTCCCGCTTTGGGGTCAGCTTGCTTGCCCTTCCTCTGCAGAAGGAATCCCGCTGCTGTCCCTCGTCCTGCGGCCCGCTGTCCATCCCCCTTGCCCATGCACAGCCCCTACATCTCTCCAGCACTGGCCGGAGCCAGGTGCAGAGCGTGTGCGGTTCAGGGGCCGTCGGACGTCCAGGCACCTCCTCTAGTGGGTGATGCTGACCCTGCCTGGTGACAGGAGCGGGGTTCCCGGGGAGACGGACCCCGGGGATGTGTGCCCCGCCGGACAGTCATCCGGCTTGCCCTGTGGGACTTTCTGCAGCTTTCCTGGGGGGCACGGTGCGGGGGGGAGGGGGCGGCTGGGGACACTTTAAAGGCGGCTTATGTGCTTTTCTCTGTTGGGTCTTTAAGGAATATTCATTATAATTCATTTCAACCAGTTTACATCTTTGAAACTTTGTTTCTTGCTTTAGTCAGAAGGCAAATTAGCTAAAATGTATGTTTCCAACATGATTCCTGTATTTTGTTGTCTTTTACGCACTGAGAAGAATTTAACTCTTTAGAACCATTTTTTTGTAAAAACAATGTTTTTAGCATTTTGTTATTTTGCCTTTTAAATTTTACAATTTCAACCAGTAATGCCTACTTGAATCTAACCATGCCCTTTAAAAAAAAAAAATACCTTTTTGTTTGTTAAGGCTTCTGTGATAAAGAGAAAGCAAAACTTCCAAAAAGGAGGAACTGTGGGCTTTTTTAAAGTTTAAGATTTTCCTAAAAAAGAACCTTTTTAAAATGTCATTTTAGGGAGCGCCTGGGTGGCTCAGTCATTAAGCGTCTGCCTTCGGCTCGGGTCATGATCTCAGGGTCCTGGGATCGAGCCCCGCATCGGGCTCCCTGCTCCGCGGGAAGCCTGCTTCTCCCTCTCCCGCTCCCCCTGCTT